TTTTTTTTTCTGTTAAAATGAAATCAACTCAAAGAAATGAGAGAATAAATAGTGTTTTTCATCAAATTTTGAGTACCTAACTAACTCTCATTCAAGTTATTGAATATTATGAACAAAAAGCAGAAGATATGCATTAAGGAGAACAAGATGAAGACTTCTATTGCAAAAATAGTTCTTTTGTTGATTTGATTAGTCATGGAGGAATTTTGGGATATGCTACTATTATCTACACAATAAGGGTGCTTCAAATGTTCAAAGAAGAGTTTTTAAAGGGTTTAGGCCTGAATTGTATTGAGGTAGAAAAGAATGGGATAAGACTTTTATATGAACTTGACAAGTCATGTTTGAAAAGAGTCTTGAAAATGGAGTTTGATAAATTTGATTTAGTATCTCTTGTACTTGCCAGTTATTTGAGACTTTGGGATTATTATGTCAACAGTTCAATATATCGTGCAAAAATGTACAAAGAATGTAAAAAAGGGGGTTGTTTATAAACTGGTTGATTTAACTTGTGATAATGAAAAATTTGCTTGCCTTTTATGTTTTAGTGAGTTGAATCATTTTGGCCGCAAGGTTCATTCATTGTTGAGGGGACTAAAATTGTGAAGATTAAATTAATGGAGGCTTTAGAGTTGATTGATAAAGACTTACGAAGCTTAACTGAAGTTGCTGCAATAGAAATGCATGTAAATGCTAACCAAGTGGTATATGATCCTCAGTGTGTCAGAAATTGACTAATGCTAAAATCAAAAGCCAATTAGGAAAAAAGAAGAAGAAGAAGAAGCAGAAGCAGAAGATAAAAGGTGCAAAGACTTTTGTTATGATACTAAGGATAAGAGAAATAGCTATTGAAATCCAACAAAATTTTGCACTTCAAAATCTACAACCTAAAGTGTTTGGTAAGAATTAAGATGCTTTTTTGACTTATCATTTATTGCAAGTGCATTATGTTGCAAGTGTAACGGGTAGAATCTTACTAATGTATAATGTTAATAGATTTAATACAACTAACATTCTTCTCTTTTTTTTTTTTTTTTTTTTTTTTTGTTTCTAATTTAGAAAATCAAGTATAGAATAACAATGTTGAATTTCAGCAAAATTTTGCACTTTAAAATGTACAACCTAAAGTGTTTGATGAAAATTAAGAGGCTTTTTTGATTGATTATTTGTTGCAAGTGCATTATGCTGCAAGTCTAACGAGTAGAATCTTACTAGTGTATAATGTTAATAGATTTAATACAACTAACATATATATATATATATTTTTTGTTTTTAATTTAGAAAATCAAGTATGGAATAACAATGTTGAAGCATAATTAGCTGTTGGTCTTTGTAATTAGATACTTATTGATCTTTATAGTATAATTTTTTCTACTATTATTTAATTTATTGACACATAGCTTCATCATCTTCATGTACAAGGTACCAATTCACAATGTGTGTCTTTTCATTCACATACGACTTTTATAGAAATGTTGTAAGATGTTAATCCTATTTTGACTTCTTCGAATTTTCAAAATTTCAATCCCATTTTGACTGCTTCAAATTAGCTAACCCATGATTTCAATTCCATTTTGACAATTTATGAGTTGGCTTTTGAGATTTGATAAGATGTTGCTCATTCTCTTAACAAGCATATGTATTTTTGTATTAATAAGTTGCAAATGGTTATGAAATATTGACAGAGGAGAATGATTAAAGATGTGGATAATTTATGAGAGTCATTTTGTTGATCATATGATAGTATTTTGATATATTAGATGATTATACAAAAATTGAAACATAGCTCTGGTGTTGCACAATGATTTATATAAAACTTGCATTAGTTACTCATATTTAGATGATAATTTGTTTTAAGAGTTAAAGTTATACTAAAATAACACTCTTTTATTAGAAAGATGAACTTTTATTAATAATAAAATAATATTCCAAGATACATTGCAATTCTCTAAAAAAAATACAATACAAGGCAATTTTCTTGTGAAAATGATACAAGACAATTTTCTTGATAAAAAAAAAAGGAACAATTCTTGAATCTTGATGTTCCTTTATGTTTTTCTTCTACTTGTCACTGTGCCAAAGCTAACTCCTTGAATGGGGCTTGAAAAAAACATATATAAGTTTTAATTTAGTTCTATCAAGGTATTGCGATCTTGAGATTAAAATATATATATTGTGCTTTATTATATATTTAATTTTTAAGATTTTATTCTCATGAAAAAAACATAATTTTTAAGATTATATTGATAGAGAAAGGAAGATTGAGGAAGTAGAATTTGAATGAAAAAGGTAAGATTCTAACAGGCTAAATCAGGGTTCAGAGAATAACAAATGTTAAAATTTTTAAAGAATTTTAATTTTTAAGGATTCTATGATCCACTACCATACTACCTCTCATTGAATTTATGAGGACCATGGCTAAAATAAACAAAATTTGATTCTATTTATGGTAAAAAAAATATGGAGGTTATTCTTTATTTATAAGCAGTATGGATGTACGATTATGCGAATCCAAAGTCAAAATGTCCTTTTTGAACTTGGGTAAATTTAGGAGATAAGGGATGAATTGTTTGGATTTTGAAAATCAAGACTTCAGGTGCGTTTAGAATTGTCGTTGGAAGTTTTGTGGGTTTTTTTTTTTTTTAATTATACAGTATTTATAGATTTATATGTGATTGGTAATTTT